AAAAAAGACAATGACAACAAATTAAAAATCAAAAATACAAAGACAATTAGAACAATATAAATAGCGTTAAGAGTACTAATTTATTTATTCGATGCAGAGTTATGTCGTGTTTTATATGTTGTTTTATTTTTATCTGTACCACCGGATCTTTTGATTGGAGTCGTCTTTCCACTCTTTGCTGTTGTTGACGATGTAGTATTCAGCGATGCCTGGTGTGAAATAATGCTTGGATTCCCTCTGGTATTTAGATTCTTAACTGTTTCTTCTCTGCGATTTTTTTGGCTTTTATTTTCTATTATATTCTCATCTTCATCAGAGAAGATCTTTTCCTTTTCTATTTCATACGGATGTGTTTCTCTAGTATAACGGGGGGGTCCTGGGGTCACTACTTGCAGGTTTTATATCTATTCTAAAAGTTTCTTCTTGTTCTTTCAGTTCTGCGGCTGTATACGATTTTGTGTTTATAACGAGTTTATGATTTTTTATATAACATATATTTGTCTTGTTTTGCCTAGCTAGTAAAAGGTGTTTCCGCAGAATTTTGCTTTCTTCCTGTTGTTGTTTGGTGAGATCATGCGATATATTAATGTTCGATCCTTTTAGATTTCTTAAGTTTTTCAGAACTGTTAATTTTATGAGAAAAGATATAAATTCTATTTTAATCGGACTATTTAATTGTTTTCCTAACGCGTAAGTGTTGTTTATTTCGGTTTCTTTAATATTTAATTTTAATGGTCTGTTTAGTTGGTCAATAATATATTGTAAATTTAGCTCTGGATTTTCCCTAACTATTCCATAAATTATTATGTTGTTACGTCTATTATTATTTTCAATTATTTCTAACTTATGTTTTAACTCCTGATTTTCTTTTTCTAAATGTTTTATTTTATATTCAGTTTCTGCAACCTTAACCCTGCTGTACCGTTCGAGTAAACTACACAAATGTACTGTTCGGGTCAATATGACCCAACTATGATTTACGCTCCCTAATAGAAATAAAATAAGCTAATGGTGCTAAACAAAACTGTATTAATAAAAAATTATAGTTAATTAAACAATAATTATATTGTTACTGTAAATTAAACCTTATTAACAAAAATAAAAAGCATTTTTTCTTTCCCAGAAAACCCTAAGAACAAATATCTACAAAATTTAATTCAGTTTACAACTGGGACAGTAATAGAAAGAATGGGTTTTACAAATATGTTTATGACATATACAACATAATATATTAGTCTTGTTATCCCTTTTAGAGCAAAATTTACAGCGTGCTCGTTTAGCAGGCGGAGTTGGATGGTCCATAGGCGGTTCACTAGAATTTCCATCTTCTCTACTCGCTTCTGCTCGTGTTCTTTTTACCAGTTCTTGTGAGTCTTTAGTTCTCGGTAAATTTTTCCTGGAAAGGATAAGAGGTTTCACCAGTGTTTTTCCCAACTCCTCAAGAAAAATTCGTCGTTTTGTAAGTTTATTGGTATTCCATTGGGGATTTATCGATGTCCATAAAACGAACGCGTTGTAGGCAGAAATGTCCAGCATATTGTAAAAAACAATCATGGGCCAGCGATTTGTCTTCCTCTTACATGTATATGTACCAACAAGCTGATCTAGAGTATCCACTGCCCCCTTACTGGAATTGTAATCTAAAATAATTTGGGGCTTCTTGTCATTTCTGTCACTAATAGCCTTTTCATGATGCAAAGTACTCATAAGAATAACATTTTTATTCTTTTTAGGAATATAGTTAACAACAGTGGTATCTTGTGTGAAGTAAAAAGACGAACTATGAACTTCTTTATTCGCAATTTGTGCTGGAAGCTCTCGTTTATTTTTTCTTATAGTCCCCAGCATTGTATTTTTTCTTTTTAGAAGAAGTTGTCCTAAATTGTACGATGTAAAAAAGTTATCACATGTAATATTGTGGCCTTTCAAATCACTACTCAAGTCACACACCACACGCATTCCCTGATTTCGTTCTGGCGCGGCACCTGCTTCCTTTCCTGTATAGATCTGCAATTTTAGAGCATAAGAACTTTTACTGTCACATAAGGCCCAAATTTTTATGCCATATTTCGCTGGCTTGCTTGGAATGTACTGTTTGAATGGACAGTGGCCTCTAAAGGCAACTAATTGCTCGTCGACGGTAACATTTTCATCAGGGTTAAAAAATTTTGGTAGATTTTCAACCCATTTTTCCCAAATTTCACGTATTGCAGCAAGTTTATCAGTACGTCTCCTATCCTGTCTAGTAGTCTTGTTATCAAAACGTATTACTTGCGAACCATGGGACTTAAAAACTCCAGCTAACAATAACAGACCAATGTATGCTTGAAAACCAATTTTATCTAAGTCTTTCCAGTTGTTTCCAAAAACACGCTGTCCTTCCATGTTGGTCATATTTATAATTTGGTTTGCAACTATGTCAGAAAAGAGTGCGTCAAATGAATTTTTAATATCGAAAATTCGTGCACATGCGTACCTTGTAACTCCTGGAGCATTATTTATAACATTGGCCGTAGAAAAACGACCGCGTTGATAAGGAGGATCGAGCGACCATTGGATAGTATCGTCTTTTGAAGGAACCGTTACAGAAGGTTCTACAGGATGTTGTACGTAGAATGGAACACCAAAGGATTCATCACTACTTTCTTCCTCACTCTCACTACTTGTATTGTTTTCTGTTTCTGATATGCACTCATCACTCTCTGACACGTTCGCGAGCTCGCGAAGCTCATCTTCGGTTAGCGCTCTACGGTGCGACATTATCAACATGCAAACATAGACTGAAATTTGAAATATAAACGAATAAATGAATGCGCTTGGCCTTGGAATATTAGTGTTTTACCACTTGTCTATCACCCCCACTTCCTTTTACGTGACATGCCATTCTACCTGACATCGTCCAGCTACACTACACATATTTTACAAGTTCTAGCTTGTAGAAACTTGTTTTTATTTATAGACGTACCTGACTGACAAACACTATTAGAAAATATAAAATACTACCAACTAAACATACCTATACAGGTAATTTTTAACGGTTTAAATAAGTGGGTCATATTGACCCGAGCGTACCATAGGTAACAATTTAATTTTTATCAAAAAAATGAGCAAGTTGATTTTTTATCTTTTATGCAATTGAAAGACCTCATATTAAGTAATAAAGTCACGAAACACCAAAACGTTACGCCGCGTAATAATTTGTAAAATAAGAAATAATTTTTTTTTGGGTCAAATAGACCCGAACAGGACAGCAGGGTTAAGTGATAATCGTATTTCTAAGGCTTTAATTAAATTTTTTAATTCACTATTTTCCTTTGTTATTTCTTCCAATAAATAATTATTTGAGATTTCGATATTTTCCATTATCTAGTGTATGATCGCCTTAAGAGAATGAATGTACGAGGCAATTATTAGAATGGTAGTTTTTTTTTTCAACAGCAATTATATATGAACGGTAATTAAGAATTAGTGACTGGTTTTTTCGATAAATCTGATTTGATTATGAGGTTATGGTTATTTGCATTACTTATGCATGCGTTGAAGACGAAGTAAGATTACAGTATTTTCTTTTATTATGTATGTAAAAGTGATACTTGCAATTCACTTACGGAAAGTTTTTAGTAAAGATCTTCTACTTTTTCCACCAATAACAACACATTTTATACAGAGTTAACAATATACGACAACATACCACAAAACGGCCACACACGTTGATATATATATATATATATATATATATATATATATATATATATATATATATATATATATATATATATATATATATATATATATATATATATAGTAAACTCTTAAATATTGGGGAAATCTGCAAAAAAACTCTAATGTGTATCAATTATTTCACCTAACGTTTTCGCCAAAGAGAATTAATTTGGCTTCTTCAGGGCTGAAAGAGAATAAATTATAATTAGCTACCATATATTATCTAATAAAAAGCATTTACCTTACCGTGAATTTTTAGAAATGTCGAGTTATGATGTTAAAAAACTTTAGCTAGTAACAACATAGTGGTGTTTTTTTTGTTACTATGTGCAAAAAAGTTTATTTGTTAACGTTGGAAATGTATGGTAGCTTTGAACTTAAAACGCAAAGGTTTACCCAAGGACAATCGAAAAACCCAATGTAACTACATTTAAAGGAAGTAATTCTTTGAATTGTCGGCAATAACTAAATTTTTAATTGTTGTAAAGTTTGAATGTGAGCTTCTGTTTTCATAGAACGCAAGCGCCGAAACAATTACAAGTAGTTCATTTGATATCAATGTCGTTAAGGTTCATTGGTATAACCGATGAAGTTAGATCCCAGTCTGGGGAGATATTAGTTTAGAATTTTCTTAATTGAAATTCTTTTTTTTAATTAGTATATTGTTCATGTATTATTATAATAATATCTTATTGAGATGTATCTAAGAAAAGCAAGGGAATGTTATCTTTTTTTGTTAATGAAAATTATTATTGAAGTAGGTTAGTTGTTAATAGATATATAAGTCAAGTTGGTGATCTGTGATGTTGTATTGTTCTTGGTATCTGATTTAATTTTATATACATAGATATATATATATATATATATATATATATATATATATATATATATATATATATATATATATATATTAAACAAGAGGTTCATACAGAATCTTTATTATAGCAATCAAGAAGCTACAAGTTACGTGACCCAGGCCGGAATGGCGGTACCGGATGACATCTGTCTGTCATCGGTCTTCTTCTTTTTTACCTTTAACATAATATATTACAGTTTGCGTCCTCAAGTCCATAAAAATCTACTAGATTTTGAAATGATTTGCCTATCGTTTCATCATACTGTACACTTAGTAAGTCCTGAAATGGTTTTAAAATCTCTTTGTGTGCAACAAACCTATCATTTATGGATTGTATAATTTCATCAAAAAAGGGGATAAAAACAGATCTTCTGTAATATTCTTCTGGCGTGGAAGCTGGTACATTATTTCTCTTTGTTCGCTAAATTACTGTCCTTAGAAGAGACACATTAACACCAAATTCATCGCAAAGAGCTGATACCTGCCCAAAAATATTGGTAAAAGTTTCATCTGCGTTTTGTCTTAACTGTTCTAGTGATTCTTTCGTTTTGTCTGCAGATTCAACAGCTAAACGAATGTCTAGATTTTCTGTTTGAAGGTACTTACTAATCGGTAAAGTGAGTTCAAACACCATTGATCACCCTTGCACATAATCTTTTTAATTTTTCCACGTTCGGCTTCTGCTCTAACTGATCAATTTGATTTTCTAAAACATTTTGCCGCTTGGGATAGTTGAAAAATTATAAGTGGCTTCTACGGTTCCCATACAATCGAATTTCTGGTACAGAACATCCTTGAGAAATCGCAAGATTAAAACTGTGAGAACAACAATGCACATAGATAGCTTTGGGAAATTCTTTTCGAACAATAGATTGTACGCCTTTTATATGACCACTCATGGAACAGTCTCCATCATATCCTTGCCCAACTATATTGTTACCATTCAAACCTAAATCTTGTATAAACGAGCAAATAGTATGAGCTAGTCCAGTTCCGGTGGTTTCAGTTACCGGAATAAATTGTAAAAATTCTTCATGAATTTTATTATTTTCTTCAAATCTAGCGCAGAATGATAGCTGAATTGCACTACTAATATCGGTTGTTTCATCACAGAGAATACTAAAGAATTTTGCTTCATTTACTCGTTTTACCAAATTTTCTAAAACGATGGTGTTAAATATAGAAATTATTTCATTTTGAATTTTTTATTTTGTCTGGCAGTTTTTAAATGATTGGTCAAAATATGATCTCTAGAATCCATTCTAAATTTTAAAAGAGACCTGAAGTTTCCTTTTCCTCTTTGTAGACGGGCGTTAAAATCGAAAGGTCCAAAATCGCGATGACCTCTAAAAGATTGCCCCATTTTAGCAAGAAAAATAGCGGTCTTAATAATAGGTTTAAGGGATTTTCTATTTTTTTCTATTTGAAATTTTCTTCCTTTATTAAGCACTAATTGAATATTGTCCCTTTTTCCAGTCTATGTTGCTAGAAAATTAGCCGCTTTCTCTAAACACTTTTTATGATAGCTATTTTCTGAATGTTTTTTAAAATCTTCCCTTGCATCCTTCCATTTTCTAAATGGAATTTTAACTAATTTTCCTGCGCTCGATCCTTGCTCTCCTACAACAGTGGAAAATAACACACAAAACTTGCAAAACGCAGCATCCATTGCTGGGGAATATACCAGCCAATTCCAGTCACTTTAATGGTGTACTTAATCCCTGTTTTATCAATTCTTTTATCAGCCACGTGCTTATATTACGATGTAGTGGACAGTTGAAGAATATGTGGTTTAAGTCAGCTATACTAGTTCCACACTCACATCGGTCTGTTGGGAGAACTCCGATTTTGTGTAGATGTTTTGGAAACCATCCATGATTTACTTTTAATCTTAAGACAGTTGACACTGTGTTTTTACTTATTGTAACATCTTTGTAAAACTGTTTTACATCTACTGTGGGTTGTAATTTGTATAAATTAGTGCCCCGGCTTTCACCAAACTGAATCCATTGTCTGTCCCATTTAAATTTAATATGTTGTTTGATATATGCAAGTAGGTCACTTGTGTTAAATTCTTCTATCACCATTTTTAGCTATAGAATCAGCAATAGTATTGCCAACAACATCCGAGTGTCCCTTAACCCATAGAAGTTTAGTACCATATGGATCTGATAGTTTTAGTAACTGTTGAAAGATTTCTAATATGAATATATTGCTATTGATTGTGAATTTAAAGTTTTGTAAGGAGTGTAATACTGACAATGAATCACTGCATATGACAATTTTGTTCCACTGGTTTTCACAGCACAGTTCAAGGGCTTTGTATATAGCACATGCTTCAGCAGAAAAAATGCTGGATTGATTATTTAAAATAAATGATTTTTTAATCTTCATTTTTGGTACCAAGTAAGCACTGGTTGTACATGTTGGTGATTTTGACCCGTCTGTATAGATCACAATATGATCTGAATAGCCACTTAGGATTTCTTTAAGAGTAGTGTAGCAAAATTCGTTTTGGTATTTAGGGATAATAATATTTATAGTCAGAACACTTGTTAGATGTAGTATATCCAATGATTCCCAGATAAGAGTACAAGGGGAATTTATTAACTTCAGTTCGTTGCAACTTATAATTGCTCTTGCAAGTGGTGGAGAGTTTTTTTATGAAGTATGTAGATCAGCTGTATTTAATTCATTAATTATTTTTGCATTATAAGTGCCACGATAGTGTTGGTTTAGGAAATATTTGCTTGCCAGATATTCTCTGCGCAATGAGAGTGGGTTTTCAGATGCTAGAGCTAGGGTGGCTTCATTTGGAGTGCTTTCATCAATCCCAACACAATCCTTAGAGCTTTAAATTGAATTCTATCAAGTTTACGTAAATTGGTAATGCCAGCTGACCCATATACCACACAAAAGTAATCTATTATAGATCTTATATAGGCTCGATAAAAATTCAATGCAATGTTTTGATCTGCACCCCACGATCTCTTACATACCATTTTAAGAAAATTGATACCTTTTTCGCAGCGACCTATTGTATAATTAATATGTTGTGTCCAAAGCAGTTTTCTGTCAAGTACGACACCAAGATATCTAAATTCCGAAACAATTGGAATATCATTGCCATGTAAGGTTACAGCGTGATGTTTAATAGGGTGTTTTCTTGAAAAAAATACTACGGCACATTTTTGGTACGGAATATTGAAACCATTTAACCAAGTCCAATTATCCAAGTTGTACATAATATGTTGGAGTTCAGTAGTGCTTTCACTTACGTTTTCTTATGTGAATAGATGACAATATCATCAGCATATTGTAAGCAAACAATATTGGGAGACCATAAATTGTGCAAATCGTATGTGTACAAATTAAAAAGAAGTGGACTTAAAACAGCTCCCTGTGGAATACTTTTTGATGTGATCTTGGGTCCAATAATATTGTGACCTACTCTTATCGATACACTTCTCTCTTTGTATAGGTTTGGTAGTAAATGTGCTATCGATTTTGGAACGCCAAAAACACAAGTTTATCACAGAGGATGTTTAAATCAATATTATCATATGCACTTTTTATGTCAATAAACAATGCACCTGTTGTCATGGAATTAGAAAAACCAATTTGAACATCCGTAGTCAGACGAACTACTGCATCCGTGGTTCCATAGCCTTGTTTATATCCATATTGTGTTGCTGGCAGAATATTATGCCGCCTTAACCAAATTTACATTCTCAATTTGAGAATCCTTTCAAATGTTTTAAAAATGCATGACAATAATGTTATTGGTCTATATGATTCCGGATTATCTTTGTCTTTTCCCTCTTTCAGAATTAATATAACAAAGCAATCATTAAATTTGTAAGGAGGTATTCCAGTTTGCAAAATACAGTTATAAATCTGTAGTAGTAGTCTTTTAGCCAGTATACCCATTTTTTGTAACATGATGTAAGAAATCTGATCCGGACCTGGAGCTGTGTTTTTGGATATCTTGATAGCATATTCCAGTTCAGATGATGTTATTTCTTCTAATAAATAATGTTCTTCTGGATTTAAAGCCATGTAAGGTATATGTTTGTCAACAAATGATGGACATAACTTCTGAAGAATATCTTCTGCAACTGCGGAAGGAACATGTTTGATGTTTGCGTTTTTGTTGTTTAATTTGTTAGCCATCTTCCATATTTGAGTTGATGGGCAACTAGAGTTAAGACTGGAGCAAAATTTAATCCATGTTGTTTTGGCTTTTTGTTTAAACATTTTTTAGTTGTAGCTTCTACCTTTTTATATTCAAGAAAGTTATTCAGTGTAGATGCGGTTTTGTATTTTTTAAGAGCACTCTTCTTAAGTTGTAGCTGTGTATTACATTAATCATCCCACCAAATTGATTTTTGTCTATGTTTAGGACTGAAGGGTACGTTTTGGGGGATAGAAGCTTCACTGCTTTTATTAATTGCTCTATTCAGATTAAATGCCATTTCATTACAGTTTTCAAAGTATACAACATTCTTCAGTTCCATTTCAAGAGTGCTATGAAGCAATTCCCAGTTGGCTTTCTCTAATTTCCATTTCCTTGTTGGATAGACAACATAAGAGGGTACATAAATATTCAACTTGATGGAAATAATATAGTGATTGGATCCGAGAGTTCTATCCAATGTTTGCCAATGTGCTAGTGCAATTAGTCCAGAAGTTATTAGCGTTAAGTCTACACCTGATTTTGTAGAGTTTGGAGGGGTAATTCTAGTCGCCGAACCATCATTTAGAAATATTAAATCCATATCAGTTAATTATTCTATTGCCATCAATATCATTTTTTTGGGAACCCCATACCGCATGATGGGCGTTGAAGTCACCTCCTAGTACCGTCTCTCCTTCGAGTGAGGAACACCAATTAAAAAGCCGTTCCCATTCTCGGGTACTTGTATTCTTGTCAGGTTTATATAATGAGATTATGTTAATTATTCTTCCATTAAAATCAATTTTTACACCACACATTTCCAATGTTCCAACATTTATAATATCCAATCTTATACTTATTTATCCGTAGGCCTAAAAATATAGCTACACCTCCAAATCTACGATCTTGACGATCTTTTCTAATAATTTGGTATCCCTTATAAACAATGTTGTGTTTTGTCTTATAACATGTTTCAGATAAAATTGCAATATCAATAGCATTCGAATACAGAAATTGTTTAAAAGATTGCACATTAGATACAGTAGAACGACTATTCCATTGAATTATATTTAAATTATTTGAACTGTTATGATCCATTGGATGTGGATAAATTTTCCAATAGATTTGAAATATGTTTTTTAATTAAATTTTGATCATTGTCTATATAATCTTTGCAATTTACAACATCAGAGAGAAAGCTGAATATTATATTAGTAATACCTTCAACTATTTTTTCTTTATGTCTCATGAACTCATCCCTGTAAGGATTTGGTAAGATTGACGAACTGGCTGTACTTTTCTCAACTCTTTCATTATCAATATGATCGCTCTCATTCAGTTTTCTTTTTTTAAAAGATTCAGAACTGTTACTTGATGTGGAATTTCTTCGCACAACTCTCGGTTTAGAGATACTGCACACTGAAGGTACATTAACATTTTTGGAAGGTAGCGGAGGA